TACCCCCCCAGGCCCTGCCCCTGCCCCGCTGGCGTTTCAGGTCCCTGCCAAAGCTCCTGCAAGATCTCCAGCCCCTGCACCAAGCTGGACGGTGGCTCCTGCAACCCCGAGAGCTGCCCGTACTGCCTCAAGGCGCTGGCGGGCGAGGCTGAGCTGACGGACAACGAGACGGCCGACTCGGACAGCGAGGGGGTCTACGAGTTCACGCAGGATGCCCACTACAGTGACCAGCGGGACCCGCAGCGGGGCAGAGCCCGGGCCAAGAGAGCAAGCCGGGTGCTGGCCTTCTGGCATGTGGTGTGCGAGACCTTCCGGAAGATCGTGGACAGCAAATATTTTGGCCGTGGGATCATGGTGGCCATTCTCATCAACACGCTCAGCATGGGGATCGAGTACCACGAGCAGGTGAGCCCTGTCCTGGCAGCTCCCGGTGCAGCGCAGATGCGTGTGGTGTTATGGGTCCGATGGGATGGTTTGAGGCGAGAGGCATTGGGGTGTTGTAGGAAGGGTCCTAGGACAGAGCAGGGCTGACTTTTCTCCTCTGAGCCTGCTTCCAGCTTGCAGGCAGAGGCAGGCACCAAACACCTTGGCTGGTACTGGGCTGCATGAGCTCCTGCATCCCGGCCCTGCCAGGGATGCTCAGCACCGTGCCAAAACCGCTGTCACATGGGCAGCACCACGCGTTGCTGTTTTCTGTGGCGCAGGGGCAAGGAGGGGGAGCAGCCATTTGCTGCTGGGTTTGTGCCAGCCCAGCAGTGCTAGTGATGCTGCCAGCGGTTGCGGGCTCTGGGGTCGGTGCAGCTGCAGGAAGGGAAGTCTATTGAATTTGCAGTCCCTGGAGAGAAGGTAACAAAAGCCTTTGCCTCCCCGGTGAATGCTCCAGTAACAGCACGCTCAGTCCAAAATAGACTTATCACTGGCTATTCCTCTGCTCGATTATCTGAGTCCTTGCAGGCAAGAGGCTGCCTCTGCTCCAGCCTCTCGCACACTTGTCACCTAGCAGAGCTTTTCCCTATATATAGTCATTAAGAAACGGTGTTGCCACGTTCCTCTGGAAATGTCTCCATAAGGATGACAAGAGCTCTGCTTTTAGAGAGGCTTTTGCACCGTCTGGTCTCACGTAGGTTTTGTGGCTGGGGGCTCCTGCCGGTGGCATGCCGGGTGTGGTGCCCGCGGTCCTGCCGCAGGCATGGGATGGCTTGGTGCTGCAAGTGCACGCTTCATTTGGATTTGGGGGGAAGAGTTTATTAGCAGGGATGCTGACATGCTGCAAAACCTTGTTATCTACCCCTCCAATGCTTGAGGGCTCCCAGAGGCCAGCCCAGCACGGTGCTTCTCCCGGGATGCCAGACCTCTCCCCTCCTAGACAGACACGACCACCCCTGTCCCAGTGCCAGCCTTTGCTGGGAACTAACTCCCTTGCACCTCGAGTCATGGCTGTCTACTTTTCTCCCTTCCCGGCACGTTTTATATTTGCAGAGTCACTCGCAGTTGCATGCAGAGGCATTTCTCTCACAGCTCCCATTGGCAGTGGTGGTGGCTGCAGACCGGCTCCAAATTCCCGTGTCCTCCTGTGGCATTAATGCCTCAAAACCTGAATGTGCTAAATGTGTCCCTTCCAGCCAGCACCTTCTCCCTGATGTCCTAATACAGTCTGGCTGGCTAACTTGTTTTCGGTACACGTTAAACAGCAATGTGCTCTGAAGTCCTGCAGGTTTCACCTTCGTGTGCTGCCCTTGGTGGGAACTCTGTGGGGAAGCTTGAGTGATTCCACCTTTATTTAATAATATTGGGAAGATCATCTCCTAAGAACCTGGGGGAGGTGACTGAGGAAACCAATAAATGCTTATATTACTCTTTTGGCTGAGAGGCGAAAGCAGGTCTTCCGTGTCTTTGTTGCCACTGTCCGAGGGGTGGATTGTCAAAGCTTGTTGCCCTTTATCAGGAGCATCTTTGGGAGATGCTGGTGTAGGCTCCTGTGCCTGTACCAGGGGGACTGTCCCACCAAGGATGGGTGGCCGAGCAAGCTCCCGTCACCAAACACCCTAAAGGCAACACAGCTTCTTAATTCTTTGGCTCGGGGGAAATAGGGCAGCGGGGTGCTGGCCTCTGCCCCGGCCAGCGGTATGTCCCAGCAGGCAGCTGGATGGGAAGAGGCAGATTTTTGTGGTGGTTTTTGGGTAACAAGGTGAAGGGAGCTGATAAGCGTGGGGGGACTCCAGACGCTGTGGGTGGTTGCTTTCTTTGACGATATTTTGAAGCTACTACTGTTCCAGATTCCTTTCTCCCAGGCATTTGGAGTGAATAGCGGAGCTTGTTTTTATTAGTTCATCTGCTCGAAGTGGCAGCACAGAGCAGAGAGGTGTTTTTCTGTAAACTCAGGAGGCTTATAGTCTGCAGTTTCATAATCTGACAGTTATGAGAGCAGGAATTAGAGGGGAGAAATGCTGGACCAGGCCTTTCTGCAGAGATTATAAACACTGAAACCTGTGATTTTTTTCTTTTAGAAGAGCCTTTCCTAAAAGTGCAAGTGATGAACCGTGCCAAATTTATCTTCATTGGCTAATGTTTGCAAAGACGTGAGGGGGCTTGAAGAGTACTTGACTCCATGACTTTCTATATTAAGCTCTCTGCTTATTTAATGAATATTTACCTCTTGCGCTTTTCACATGAGGCCACCCTGGGCACAGCAGGCTATATTAGGATAAATACTTTCAGGACATGTTTTATGGTGCCATGTCAAAAACCTTGTGTTGTTTACCAGCACCTTGCCAGAGGGGAAGAGGACATGCTAGCAGCTACTGTGTGAGAGGATGGATCGGCTGGTGGTCACTCTGGGAGGAGGAAGGTTTCTGCCCTCCCACCTGTCCCCCCTCCCACCTGTTGGGTGGGATTCAGCAGCTCTGGGACCACCAGAACATCCTGGACTTCAGAACATGAGCTGGTCAGCTGAGGTCCTCATTATAGCCAGGGAAGAGAAGTATGCTCCTCTGGAGGCTTTGCATCTCACCTTGGGACAGGCATCCTGGAGAGACCTCCTTTTCTCCGTGGAGGATGCCTAGAAGACTGAAACAGTCATTTGCTTAACAGACTCATCAACCAGAGAAGGCCAGGTTGAAAGTGGTGGTTTGAAGGCACATCAAAATGAGTAGAAATTTGGAGTGTGTTGAAAACACTGGCCCCTACCTCTTGCTGTTTATTTGCATTCACCCATCAGTCAACCTGGCCAGACTGAGCACCCATGGCCAGGGGTGCTGGATGTACATAGCAAAGGTAGTTTATGTCCCCGGGAGCTCATCTCCTACCTTAGGACCTTCCATCCCAAAGCTCCTCTCCATAGACCACCTCATTGTCATTGTCAACAAATATTTTACCATCGTATGGCTGGGGGTTCAGGAGCTGGGTTTCCTCTAAGCTCCTTCTGACATGAGCTTGCTGACTTTCTCACTCAACATCAGGTTGCTTCCATGTGGTTCCTGCACGTGCATGAGCCGTAGGTACACCTGACCGGGCTTAACTCTGCGTTTTCTGCCCATCCTTCCCAGCCATCCAGCTCTGACTCTTGCCTTTCTCACGACTGCTGGGTTTAGTGGGAGGAAAGCAGAGCGGTTTGAGGTGCACATAGCACTCACCATGTCGCTGCTGCTGGGCAGCAGTGTGAAATTTTCCATCAGGGAAATGACAACCAGATTGCTGCGGATTATTAATGTGACTGCTAAATAGCTTGTTTTTCTACGGAGATGAAGCAAAATGCAGGTAGAAACTATTAGCTTTGGGTAGAGGAATATAAAGGTGATTTAAAGGTAGACTCCAGGGGGATTTTAAATACACTGTTGAACCAATTGACTGATTCGCCTTAGGAAAGCTGAGACTCTGCAGCGCTGTGGGTTCAAACGGTTAGGGCTTTGCAGAAGCTTGTTCTGCCATAGAGCAGGAGTAAAATGTGCTGCTAAACCAGAGGGTTTCTGTGCTGCTTTCCCCCCAGCCCTGGCTGTAAGCCAGACTGTGTTCCATAATGTGCTGCCTTTTTTTTTTTCTCTCCAAATCCTTCCTTGGAGTGAAACGCAAAGGCTTTAGTACAAGGCGTGATGTTGGACTCCTCAGCAGGGGAAAGAATTCGGCAAGGGCTTCCTTGAGGAAGGGCTTTGGGGTTTTGTTTTTGTTTTTAAAATCTGGTTCGCATTGAGCTGCCTGGCTGTTCCGATTTTCCTTGTCTGAACTCGCATTGTATGAACTATACCCTACATATTCATTTGTTTAAATAGCACTTGAATTTCAGCCCCCGTCTCTGCGGTGTTTTGCTATTGTTAACATAACAAGAGACTGGAGAGTCCTGCACCGGCCTCCCCAAAGCTGCAGTCGGTTCAAATCCGTGGCTGAACCTTGTGGGGACTTGGATCTAGAGTGGTCCAAAACTCGTGGTGTCTCTGAAGGAAGGAAGAGGAAATTGGTTCAGACCTGTGGAGAACCTTTTGTTAATTCTTAAAAGCAAATTGGAGAGATGACGGGGTGAATGACACTTTGGGACAGCGCCCAAGGAGAAAAGCTCATCATGCACGGGAGGCAATTCTTCAAGGAATTTGGAAGAGGCAATGCCTGACATCCTCCCAGCAGGAGGATAATTGGTGGAGTACCCCCAGCTACAGCAAGGTGTTGTAGGAATCCACAAAGCAGCAGTGCCCCAAACCAAGGTGTGCAAACTCCATCTGCAGAAGGCAGGAGCAGCCTCAGCCCATGGTAGTACCTCAAGCTGAATTCCTAGTGCATTGTGCTGCAGGGACCCGGAGTGTACACGGTACAGATGATGTAAAGTTGTCACCGGTAACATTACGATCTAATAGCTGCTGCGGCATGGAAATATCAACCATCTGTGCCAAAGTGTCAAAAGAAAGCTTGCTGGGAAAATGCATTAAAGTCTCTATTTATGTAAACAGTCAAGGCTGGAGAACATGAGAGTCTTCCTAATCAGTGACAGAGGACGTGAAATTTTCAGGTATCCAGGATGATTGAGAGGGGAGGTGAAGGGTCAGTAACTGCAGCAACATTAGAAAACCCGCCAGCATGGAGGAACCGTTAGGCTCCAGGTTCAAGCATTAATAATAGTCACCCAAATGGTATTTATGTACTTCTGTCTGAATCCAGTGTGCAGGGAAGAAGGTAACTGAAAATTATTAGTTGTCGTAACACCCACTGATTGATTTCTCCATGTGGCAGGAAAATTTGATTGTTCCATGGAGAAGTGGTGTAACAGAGCTGGACAGTGGGGATTTGGCAGGCTGGTGCCCCAGGTCTTGGGGTGCTTCAGTCTGTGCTAGTGTCCAAAGTCCTGGGCAAGTTGGAAGGCAGCAGGTCTGGATCCATCTGTGAGTACTGCCTCAAGAAATAAGGTGTTTTGGGGATCAGAA